ATTGATTGAACGTTGTGTTGAACTTCCAGGGAAGAGCAACTTATCTGAACTACCAATCCAAAATGATCCAAAAGAGTATGGATCAACCCCACCTTGATACCGACTTAGTTGGTGATTCGTCAGCTGTATGAATTGGGGGAATATGATAAAATTATAAGATATTGGATGACGTCTAAGGTTACGAATGGACACCAAACATTAGACAACGTCGGCCTTATGTCTTACCTTAAAAACCCCCCTACACTCTTACTCCTACCTCTTACCTCTGGCTGTTACCACACAGATTTCGGGAATCAACACCAGGTGCAATGATCGACACCACCCCACCGGTGACACGTCCAGTTGCGGCGGCGGCCGCAGCACCGCGGCGCGGCGCGGCGGCACTTCGAGCGGATCCTGGGCGCCAGGCGGCGGGGGAGGAAGAGATCCAAAGACCTCAGATGGAGGAACTTGTTGTTTGGGCTCAAGACGAGCTCAGATAGAAACTGGGGCAAACTCCCTGATGTGGTGAATTTTGGGATTCGAACCAATATAATATATATATATATATGTACACTATATATATAATGGACGTGAGTGTTGTACATGGGGGTGTAGAAAGTTGGGTTTGTGGTTTTGCTTTTGCCTCTGAGTATTTTTGGATCTATGCTCAGGGCCGATGTTACCAGGTAGCATCGGTAGATATCGGTAGCATACAGCCATATAGCTGGGTGGTGGTGTCAGAGATCTTGATGTTCAACCTGTACTTAGGACGTTCATTCTTTAACAGAAGAAGATATACACACAGTCACACATATTTTACAATATGGAACCCAACCCAACTGACTCATACTACGTTTCATTTGTTTTCGTTCTTCACCCCACCTGGCGCCAGTCACGCCGATGCCTGGCGCCAGTCATTTGGATGGCGACGGCTCCCGGCCCATGCCATCCCATCCACGTATATATACCAATCAGTTCGGGATTTTTGTCGAAGGGGTCAATCGACGAAAACCACCACTCCCATCATGGAGCCGGGAGACAGCGGGGTGACAGCGGGGTGACTGGGTGTTTCGCGACAGGGAAACATCGACACCGACTGGTCGCCGGACTCGCCGCCTGGATGCGGGAAAAAGAACACAGAAGGCCTATTGGTACTAGTATGGTGAACTGTTTTCAAGAATGGTCAGAGGTGGTTTTCGAGCCGAATTGTGCATGATTTTCTCAAGCTGGCGTTTCATGATGTACAGGAACCAAGACAAAAACCATCAAACACCAGCACTTTCCAGCAAAACCAGGAAAGACTTGAAGCAAGAGATTCAGACATGCAAAGTGAGTCGAAAAAGAACATCCTTTTTCAGCCCACTCTCAACGCCATGGGCGCCGCTTTTCTCCGCAGTCGCAACGAAGCACGCGAGCCCTTGGTGTCAGGAGATCCGGCGAAAAATTTCCCCGGCGCTGGCGGAAGCGCGTTCACGGGCACATGCGGATGCGGATCTTCAGGGTGGAAACATGTGGAAGACCTCTTCATCCCCATGGGTGCCATAGATAGCTTACATAGCACCTGGGACATAGCACGGTGGCGCGCTCCGTTTGACTTGCCCCTGGATCATTTGGATCTCTCAGAAGTGAGAAAGGGATCTCACTGGAAAAGGATTCAATATCCAGGAGTCACGTTACGACGAGGTGCGACCCATGGAGGTTAGGTTAGGGGTCCCTGTCACATCCACAGCCCCTGGGATGGGACGAGCCACACCACCCCGTCTGACGTGACTCCTGGATTCATGTGTTTTGGGATGTGGCACCATGCTCCGCGGCGCTCCGCCGACCGGGCGACCGGATGACATGTCACCGAGGATTGGAGCACCAATGCCATTGGGTGCCATTGGGCCTTCTCAAGTGAAAGCTGAACTCTAATATGATATGATATTTACTGTATACTGTATCTAAACTCTTTATATACCCCGCAGACATGGATTGTAAATCCTCTGGCATTTGGGGGCTTTACTTAGGGGGCTTTACTTATCAACAGTCTATAATATAATATATATATATATACGTAACAAAAATCATCAACAAAATCCCTCCAGAGATGAGTCATGTCATGGGCAGCCATGCCCGTCGCTCAAGAACTAATCGTAACACAGTCAGCGAACTGAAAGGGCCTAGCATGGCTTAACCTCAATTCAACTATATGTTCAACATATTTTGCGCTGAAGCAAGTTTCTTAGGCTAGAATCTGTAATCAAATGCATCCAACAGAGAGAGCGGCCTAGGCTCAATATTGATACCCTCCGACCTGACATGGATGTGGATGGGGACTTGTCCCGACAGGGTGGTTCCACGATGGTTCGACTACGAACCGGGTGGTTCCGCTTCCGGTGAGTCAGAGTGTGATCTTGGGCACTTTTGGACACCATGTTTCAGGAGAACCACCTGCGGCTCGCAGCTGCTTCGAGCGCTGTCGGAAGCGTCGACGTGCCTGAGCTGCGACGTGTCGACGGGACAAAACGCGTCGCGTCGACGATCTGGGTGGTGCTCTCACGGAAATTGAGATACTACTAGTCTGGGATATATGAGATACATGGTACTCAGTTCACAGGTACTCAGGCTCAATCCGGAGATGCATTGATCCATAAACCACCATTTCTGCCCTAAATAGACAGCTCTGCGAGTTCCAACACAATACTACCTCTCGCGCCAGATCACACGCGTGAGACGCGTCTGGCTTATGCATGACGCACAGGTCATGACATAGCATAACAACCACAAAGGAAAGCTCAAAAATCGCAGACCGGGATTTCCCAAGTTTCAAGGGAACGGCCTGCCCCCCGTGCAAGCAAATTGGCCACCAGTTGGTACCCTTCAGGTGCCACAAACGGAATGGCAGCATCTATACAGCCTTGTGGAAGAGTCCGTCCACAGCTACGAGGTCGAGTGGAATTAAATGTCCCAGGGAAAGCATCAACTGTTGACATCTTGGAAAGAAGCAACATTCCCTTACGAATGGAATTGCACACGTCGCGGAACGTGTGAAGATTCTCCTCATTGACAAGCTTGTGCCCTTGCAAGTGGAAAACTGCACCAAGTTCACACAAAGAAAAGGACAAATTCCCAGACACTCCATGTATGGTAGATATATGCCTACATTGGGGTGGTTTTAGGGGTCAATGTAGGCATATATAGCATACATGGAGTGTTTGGGATTCTCATCCTGTTTCCACCGCAGGTTTCGGAGGAACGTGCATATGGCCGACCAGTTGGCCAGCCAGCCTTGGTGATCCAAAATGGCCTTTGACAGTTCAGGTCGAAGGGCAGGATCAATTGGCGCTATAGATGCAGCGAACTCACGCGCAGCATAGTCAGCAATTCTGTTGTTGATGATATGCTGAACAGTGGTATTGCAACAACTCGCTAACTCTTCAGTGAGAAATTGAACTGGAACATTCTCCAGCTTATGTGCAGGGATCCATGAGATGGAAAAAGGCCGAAAATCGCCTCCACCTCGGAATAAAACAAGGTCATAGAGAAAGTTCCACCAATGAAAGCAGCGCCATGTAGGCTCTGGTTTGTTGCCCGCAAAAATATGCGTGGCCTGTTGAACAACAGTTTGACAGTCACTAAAAATCTCAAGCTTGGTCGTGGCCTTGGAGCATGAGATGACGACAGCCCAAAGCTCGGTGGCCTAAGCCGATAACGCAAGGTGGTTTACCTGCCCTTTATGGATCACGTGTTGCTTGGAATCAACAACTGCATAGGCCCCTGTCATTAGCCACACGTTGTCCCCAAAAACAACAGATCGACAGATCCATCCGTCCAGACCTGGTTGCAGCAAGAGCCCTCAAACTGACTGGCACTGACAATGTCGGAAGCACGAAGTTGGAGCAGTCGACGTCGTACAACAAATTCAGGCTGATGAATATGGCCCAAGAGACCAAAGTTCACACCCAGTTCATGCACAGTCGGTGCACCAATGCGCGCACGAACCCCATCACATTCATGTACAAGGTGATGTAGGGTCTCCTTAGTCAGACCACATTGGCGGCAGGCGGATGTCTCACTCCATCCAGTGCTCGCAAGGCGATCATTCGTGAGAGTACATCCGACAAGAACGGATTCAAACCGTGTGTGGTTGGATACATCATCGCCAAGCATTTCTTTCGGGGACCGGAGGTACGACATCGTCTGACAATAGTCAAAGACGTGCGTTGTTTTCGAGAAATCTTTGCGGGGTGTGGATCCCGCAAGATGGTAGCATGTGTTTCAAGCAATTGCACGCAAGATCTTGGGCAGATCGAAGGGCGAAATCTCTTGGATTGGGATGGGTTGGGAGCCACAAAACGAAAGGCGCAAGGTGTTGTCAAAGGAAATACCAAGGAAATCACACGCCTGCTGAAATCGGCCTGCCAACGAATGAGGCAGGGACTGGTGATGCTCACAAGTTGGAGTGAGTTTCTGAACAGTCACACAAACAAATACAAGACCTAACAACTTCAATACATCCTCTACTACACCCACTGAGCCAGCTTCCAGTTTCTTGCGCAGAACTTATTAGTTTCTTCTCTTTTTCACCAGATTGTTTTCAGCCACTCTCATGGATGATGCTTACAAGCACCTCTATATATAGGCTATATAGGCTGGGTTGTATTTAACATAGTTCAATAGTTCATACTGAGTTGTATTCAAGATAGATCAAAAGGACGTATAACCACTTTTCCTCAATACTTACCTGTATTTCCCATATAGCTCAATAGTTCATACTCTACCATTTCTGACCCAGGTCCGTCCCCATCCTTCTGGAAACCACTTCTGCAGTGCAATAGTGTGTAGTCAGTGTAGTCAGTGCCGGAGTTGTCTTTTAAGAAAATTGCAAGGGTGAACATTGTTAGTATAATTGAATGCTGCATGTCCCTAGTTCCTGAACTCCGAAGCTCTAGGAATAACGTCAAAAATTATAGACTCATCTTGGCCTGCTTTTGAGTCAGTTGAACAGTTGATATTGGATGCATGTTGGTTTGAATCTTGACTCACAAACCCCCATGAGTTGCGTCTCAATATGCTTCATTCATGCACCAGCCATCACAAGGGCAATGCTGTAAGATCGTTGTCAACAAACTGCAGAGAAAAGTTGAAAGTCGACAAGTACTCAATCATCCATCCACTCTTTTGTTTGAAACCAGGCTTCTGCTAGACTTGGAATGGATTGGATTGGAAGGGTGAAATCCAAGCTCAACATGTCGTGCCTTCCCTAGTCCTACTTGCATATTGTCAATCTAAGATTATATAAGATTATGTTCTACCTTTCCTGTTTCAATCTGGAGTTTGATCTTCCTCAATACCACCCCGGAGTTCCGACATTCACAAACCTGACTTTCGTTGTTATTGCCATTCTGTGCTCCAAGGTTTGCTTTTGTTAAATTGTTGTTTTTGCTTTCAAGGCCTCTATGTTGAATGTTTCCGATTGGATCCTGTTCGTTTCCCTACATACAATTGAATGGATCCCAGCCTTATAGGCTGCTGCTTCACTGACTTATAGCCCTCCAAAACGCTGTTGAGCTGCTGCTTTGGGATTTGAAACGGTTGAGGGGAAGGGGATCTTTCAGCTGGCAGCCATGGAAATCAATCGAAAACGTCCACGGCCAACCCGGTCAACCTTCTACAGTGTGACCTCAATGAGTTTGATGAATTTATAGGAACAACATAGCTTCACCAGGGTTGGCAACGGTCATATACGCCTATTATATATGCTTTCACTTTGAGCCTCCTCCTGCAAAACAGCTACTAGGGAATTATGAAACTGTCAAAGCCGGATATCACTACTATCATGTTTCACGATCGCTCGTGCGTTAGGAATATGACTGCGCTGACTCTCCAATAGTGTGCTTCACTACCCCTCGCGAATGGGAACCTTACCACTCAGACCCCCTGATTTTTTGCTTCACCACTGCATGGGACTCATTAAGAATATTTTGCAATAATCATTGGTACCAAAATGTACCAAATATGGTGGTTCTGAGATAAATAGTGATATAACAGCGTGCGTCGGTTCTGGCTGGACCAAAAGGAAGCTGTGGATGATAAATTAAATGCAATTTCATAGAACCTTCACCTTCAACCGTACTTTTAAGATAGTTCTTGATCTAAGGAGGTGCGAAATGCAATGGCTCTTCCATCACTCACTACCGCTAGCGAGTGATCTAAGAAGAGGGTTTGCTTCGCTGAATCACCTTCAATTTTGTGTTCTTTTCATAACTTCCCTGCTAAAACACGAAATCAACCCAGGGTCGTTGATTTTCAATTACCCCTTAGATCACTCACTACCGCTAGCGACGGTTCCAACAGGTTGCGACTGTCGCACCTTCTTAGATCAAGATCTTTCTTAAATGCACCAACAAATAATTTCATGTCTATATACCACGGGGTAGAAAGTGAATAAAGCGCTTTGAGAGGGGACATTGGGTGCCATACTCTCAAACTCACTACCGCTAGCGAGTGATCTAAGGGGCTCATTCTGGGCAAAAATACCAAGTCACTACCGGTAGCGAGTGATCTAAGGGGCTCACTAGGTAAATTCCCCAAATCACTACCGGCAGCGAGTGATCTAAGGGGCTCATTCTGGGCAAATTCCCCAAACCATTCGCGGTAGCAAGTGATCTCAGGGGCTCACTAGGTAAATTCCCCAAATCACTACCGGTAGCGAGTGATCTAAGGGGCTCATTCTGGGTAAATTCACCAAATCACTACCGGTAGCGAGCGATCTAAGGGGCTCACTAGGTAAATTCGCCAAATCACTACCGGTAGCCGGTAGCGAGTGATCTAAGGGGCTCACTAGGTAAATTCCCCAAATCACTACCGGTAGCGAGTGATCTAAGGGGCTCATTCTGGGTAAATTCACCAAATCACTACCGGTAGCGAGTGATCTAAGGGCCTCATTCTCGGTAAATTCACCAAATCACTACCGGTAGCGAGTGATCTAAGGGGCTCAGTAGGTAAATTCACAAAATCACTACCGGTAGCACCAAATCACTACCGGTAGCGAGTGATCTAAGGGCAAATTCCCCAAATCGCTACTGGTAGCGAGTGATCTAAGGGGCTCATGCTGGCCAAACTCCCCAACTTACTACTGATAGCGAGTGATCTAAGGGCTCGCACTGAGCAAAAATTTGTAACTCGATCCCGCAGCATGAATTCAAAGGAGCTCACATTTGCAAAATTTGGGGAAAGCACATGTTGAGCTTGGATTTCACCCTTCCAACCCAATCCATTCCAAGTCTAGCAGAAGCCTGGTTTCAAACAAAAGAGTGGATGGATGATTGAGTACTTGTCGACTTTCAACTTTTCTCTGCAGTTTGTTGACAATGATCTTACAGCATTGCCCTTGTGATGGCTGGTGCATGAATGAAGCATATTGAGACGCAACTCATGGGGGTTTGTGAGTCAAGATTCAAACCAACATGCATCCAATATCAACTGTTCAACTGACTCAAAAGCAGGCCAAGATGAGTCTATAATTTTTGACGTTATTCCTAGAGCTTCGGAGTTCAGGAACTAGGGACATGCAGCATTCAATTATACTGACAATGTTCACCCTTGCAATTTTCTTAAAAGACAACTCCGGCACTGACTACACTGACTACACACTATTGCACTGCAGAAGTGGTTTCCAGAGAAGGATGGGGACGGACCTGGGTCAGAAATGGTAGCGTATGAACTATTGAAATATATGTAAATACAGGTAAGTATTGAGGAAAAGTGGCTATACGTCCTTTTGATCTATCTTAAATACAACTCAGTTATACAACTCAGTATGAACTATTGAACTATGTTAAATACAACCCAGTAGGCGCGCCTCACGTCCTTCACACCCAATGTCTCTTCTTCAAAAGATCGTGAATTGATCCTCCCTCATGGCACTGCAGAACACTTCCTCCACCCGAGGTGTGCACGAAGCCTTCGGCGCTTCTGCTTCTTCCACTGCCACTGCCGACCTCGTTGAGCTGCCCAAGTGGGTGGTTTGGGTCTCTGTGGACCCACGCAGTGGCCACATCACGCCCTATCCCAAGGAGGTGAGAAGGATCGAATTTCCGTGTTACCTCCGATTCTACATCTGATATCACATGGCGGATCACAATGATGCCATCGCTTTCGGTCCATGATGCTTCGGGGAATTTCATCCACTAGACGACGGGAAGCCTTTTTGAACCCCCCAAACGTCCGACGCTGCCGGGCTCGCGCGCGCCGTCCGGTCCGGTCGACGCGACCGGTGGAGAGATCACACTGGCTGCGGTCGTCTCCGGCAGATGGTCAGTACCCAGACACAACCTGTTTGGGACTGCCATAGTGACTGCATTTTCATACATGTTTGCATACAAAACCCCGTGATCGAAAACCCCGTGTAAGGAGTTTGCATACTACATGGATATAGATTGGCGCCCACGTCGATATCGACCTGGCAGGCTCAGGCTGACCCGAACCGACCGTTCCCCCGTCTCCGGGTATTTGGCCCGTTCCGGGGGCTGAAGGGCTGAAGGGGTCGCCATTCATGGGGAACGTGCGTTTTGGTAGAATGGGGTCCCAACCACCAAGAACTGGATGTTTCCCTAGTCCCAGCCATTATGTAAAGGATTCAAGGGCCATCTTGGAACGCATTGGTTTCCAACCAATGGTTCTGGTTGGGACTGGGCTTCGTCCTCTTCCTCTTCCTTCTCCCCCCCGTGTTCCGCTCGGCTGCTTCGGAGGTGAGCCAAACCTTGGAGTTGGCGCTCCAGCGGGGCGACGCGACGGTGAGCTTGGGCGACAGGCGCCGTGTGCGCTGCGCGACCGTGTGCCGATGACGTGTGGATCAAGTGTGCAAAATGAGAGCCATGAGAAGTGACATGGCGTGTTTGTGTTGGTTTTGTTCTTGTTTTTTTGCGGTGATGTGCTGAACATGCCGGACGATGTTGGGCGTTTTTTTTGGCAAAGTCCCAAATAAGTGACCATGTCCCTAGTGAGAGTCGTGCGGAAAGTGAGAGTCGTGTGCTGTGCGTCGGGAAAGCGCTCCCGTCTCGAAGTTCCCAGACACTCCATGTTCCAGCAGTCACACAGGGGTGCTTAATGGAGGTTAGGGGTGCCCATGATCCACTCACTTAGGGACTAAACACCACCCTTTGTGACTGCTGGTTGTTTGCCTTAGTTCGCTCAGTTGCCTACATTGGGGTGGTTGTTCGGTCGGGGTCGCAGTGGTCGCAGTAAATCATCAAGTCCAAGATGGCAGTCATGGAGTCTAGATCTTGAAACCCTAAACCAAACCTCGCACCCTCACTAGCTTCTTGTTCCTAGTAGCTACTTGCTCCGTTCGCACTGCCAGGAGAGCCCCGAGTAAGTAGCTTCTCGTTTTTCCGACCACTCCGCTGGCGTTCGCTCGCCGTGTCCGTTCCCCGTCGGGGCGACGCAGGTTCTTCGGCGCCACAGTGGAGCTCGGCGCGGCGCCGCAGCAGCGCACGGCGCGCGGCGGCCGCGACGTGCGGCGCGTGGCGCTGAAGACGTGCGACGAAGCGGTGACGCTGTGGGTGAGGCGTGACGCTGGAGAAGGGTGACGTGCATGGGATTCATGGGATTTGGATCTGGTTATATCAGCTTGTTGGTTTTGGTTGAAAGATGTTGAAAGGAGATGTTGGAAATCGACATGTTCAATCAAGGCACGCCTGAATTGATGTCCCAAACGAGGGCCGTAGGGCCGTGAACGAAGGGATGAATTGGACGGGATGGCCTCCAACCTAATAGCAAGCTATCTTAGACCTTTCTTCCTTTCCAGCACCTCCATGCCTTTTGAACGGAAAACGGCCTCCAGCAGCGATGGCCTGAGCAGTTGTGTTCAGTCAACCTACACTCCGTGGAACACATCACATGAGTGTGTAACCCCCCGAGCAAGGGAAATGGACCACCAATGGGAAATGGAGACGACCGGTCGTCTCCATGTTGTCCCATACGCATGTCCCATGGTTTCGTGGATGGCCCCAACTGTATTCGGATGGGCTTTTCTGGTCATCCGAGTCCTTTGGGGTCGTTTTCCCCATCCAGGGAGTGTATCTGGAAGTGGCTGTTCAATGTCTGAAAGGACCCACAACCACAAAAACTACCACGGTCACCACGTCATTCTTTGATGGTAGCTCAACTGAAGGCAAATTATTTAGATATATATATATATACCAGGTATTCTATATACCGAATTGCTGGGCGTTCCTCCAACTTTCGGGGGTTGAACTTGGAGGTTTTGAAGGCTTCAGGCACCACTATCTGGGCATGCTTGCCATGCTTTTGCCAGGGGCCCGAACCTGTTTTGTTTTTGACTGCCAGGTCCACAATTCTGGCAAACAAACAGGATGAGACAAAAGCAGACTGGAAGGTTTGGCATCTATGTTTGAAGGTGCACCGTGCGGGTGTTGCTACACGAATCATAGGGGAATGGAGAACCTTCACAAGACTGGCCAGACATGTACATGAAGGAAAGATCTCATGGAGTCTTTTTCACTGGAATCACATCTCAAAGATGCTACTCAAGTTCAGCCCGGATATGGACTTCTCACTATCCCCCGCACGTAGAACAATCACTGAACAGATGGGTTTTGAGAGCCACCCGCCGCTTGATCCAACGCCTACAGGCAGGGCAGATATCGTTGGGGTGCCGTGGATGGTGTGGACCCATCCAATGCGCAAGGCCTTCAGGAGATCGATACGAAAGGTTTGGTTTGCTGTTTCTCATAGTCTTGGTGATGGGATGTGATTGGGGTAGAGAGGTTTCCCACAAATCCATATATGAATTAATATATATATATATATACACCTGCATTGATCAAAAAAGAAGAGCACACACACATACACTGAGGGGTTGTCTTCAAGAATTCTGAACTGCGGGGATCCGGGTACCACCGCGGATCGATCGCCAGATCGGTCGCGTGGTCAGCGCGTCCGCGTCCGTGGCGCCGACTCGACACGACGGAGCAACGGAGTGAAAGATAGACCTACATTGACCATCCCCCTTCCCCTTGATTTCGAATCCGGGGGAGGGGGGTAACCTTTAGACATGTCATGTACTTCGTGTCAGTTTTTGTACTTCGTGTCACCCCCCCTAAGCAGTGGTGGATCATTGACCTAATTTCCGCCCAATGTATGCAAATATGGTAGTCCCAAACAGGTCGTGTTTGGGACATTGGATCGCGTGGGGTAGTTGTACCGGTCAGTGTCCATTTCGCCGCAGTTGTACGCCTCGGTGCTTGTGGGCATTCTTGCAAGGTATTGATAGCAGGGGAAACATTTACGAACGAAGTTCAATGTCTCGTTGCTGAGTCACTATGGCTGTGGAAAAGATTCAAGGACCTGACAGTCTTCCGAGACATGATGAAACCCTCAAGCGAAAAAGGGTCAAGAGTTTTCGAGGTATTTGGGGGTGTTTGGGCAGCATTTCTTGCCAGACCGAAAAGCATGCGACCTGGGACTGGGACTGCAGATCGCCCTATCTCGCGCGAGATCGGGACTGGTGCTAGGAGCGAGTGGTCTCGATGCCGGAAGAGGCGGTCGACTTGAGCCATTTGGACCCTTCGATGGCAAGGGGTGCACGGAAGGCGACCGGAATCGCTGAATGATTTCACCTACCAACTGGGATTTGGGATACCTGGACCTCATCGCTCTTAGGTTTGGAGAGTCCATTCGGTGAGTCCATTCTTGGGCTCCCATTCGTTCTTTCCGGTGCGGACCGTTGATGCCAGATGAGTCGTTGTCTGCCACCGGTGTCGCGGTGGCTCATCCGGTGTCGATGCTAGAAGAAACATCAAACGGGGCCAAGACCTTCTCCTCTTCAGGATTGGTATACGTGACCTGAAATCAATGCCTGTTTGTGACCGACCCGCCACTGGGATCTCAAGTTCGGTCACTGAGAAGGTCCGGTATAATCATTAGGTTATTCCAAAATTGATCCTTGATGCGGCCGTGGCTCAGAATTTGTGTAATGTATGATGGATGCGAGGCCAAAAGCAAAAACACATCATGAACTACTGTTTGGGGATTCATGCGTGTCATGCTTTAAGCTTTCCCTACACCAAATCCCGCCTCACCTCACCCAGGAAGAGAGGCCAAGAGAGCGGCCTCCTCCTGATCATGAGCAGCCTGTTGAGCGGTTTAGAGCTGACCAGTGATGAAAACATGGACAGACACTAGACACGTGTTGTCCATTCTTTAATCATATGTATATATATGTTTTGAAGTCAACTTTTGAATCCCTTTTCACCACCTGAAACGGGATTTCATGATCGGAAACGACTGGATGACCAAGAAATGGGAGCAGACCAGAACTGGCTGGCAGCCAGGTCTGTATATTACATACCTGGATCATCTAATGGATGTCCAATAGACTACATACCCTACATTGCTTATGGACCTCCAGCCAGGACACCCAGACAGGATGATCCTGGTACTGGAGTGTTTGGGTACTGCATCAGTTGTTTGACGTGGATTGAAAGTTTTGGCCGGGGTAAAAAGTGCATGTGGAAGCAAGTACTTCCAGATGGAGCCAAATTGGAGCTATGCAACACGACTCAATCACATACTATATCTGTGTCATGTTTGTCGGAGCATACTAGAAGTTTTCTACGCCTGGGGCCATCCTGCTTTTTTTGACCTGTTAATTTGGCTGTGGATTAACGACATCCAGCACAGTGCACCACATGGACATGCAAATGTCATACTCACTAACAACAAACATATATAAACTGTATATTATAATATATATATATTTGTGTGCTCTGTTGGACTCTATTATCATGTGTGCTTTGTTGGTGTGGTTGTGTGTGTGAAGGCAGTCATCATCATCAACACATCAGATTCGGATGCCGCCGGACTCCGTGGCCCGCTCGGTGTCCGCCGGTCAGGTCGGTACGTGATGTATATGACTGGACTGCATGGTGTCATATACGTCCATTACCAACAGATGTTAAGTGACCTTATAGGACCCTACAGGGGTACCTATAGGATTATAGGATAGTCTATAGGGTCCTTCAACCTCTGTTGGTAGTCCATATCGGTCATATATCGGTCATTCATTCGTGGTGCTTCCGCCCCCTTCGACCGTCGCAGGGAAGGCATGGCGCTCTGGCAGTGGTGCCAGCAGCTGCACGTGACACCTGCGCAGTCTGAACGAGTTCAGGACGATGCGCTGCGCACGTAGGACATTGGGACACTCCATGTATGAGAGTTACGAAGATAAGGTACCCATAGACTCCACGGGACTGCCATAATATGCCGATCAGTTGGGGTGGTTTTAGGGGTCAATGTAGGTAAATATGGCATACATGGAGCGTTTGGGGTAGGGGGATCCAGTATTTCTAGGAAATCGCCCAAGAATCCTGATTTGGCGCACGACCTGTTTGGGGGATCCAATACCCAGAAACGACATGTGGGACTGCGATACTGGCCATACATGAAGGTGTGGTTGAACAATGGGTCAATGTCGGTTTCAGAGTAGATGGCACAGACCCCAAGATGTCTTAGATGGGGGTCCGTATAAACCACCGAACTTGGGGTCTGGGCCATCTACACTCAATCCTCTATATATTACGTCCAGTCCCAAACACGTCGTTTCTGGGGAGATGGTGAGTTCCACTTCGGTGGGACACATCGATTCCGCCCGAATCGACACATCGCTGGGACACATATTTTATGCTGACGGATGCTGATTTATGGTTCATTTACCGGTGAATCAGGCTTCCATCCTGGAGGAAAAACACAACTCATACCGATTAATACCCGTTTTTTTTGCGCTACCTCAGTCCGTTGGATCCATGGTCACGGTGATGCAGGGTCCAGTCTTGCAGTTCGGCTTGGGCGAGCGAACCAGGGATTGAGACATGGCGCCTCACATGGTTATAAGTGGTGTACGATTTGGTCCACGCCTCCATTCCCCCTGTGCAAAGCCTCCACGCAAATCGTGAACGAAAGTGGCCCAGACACGACGAATGGGACTGGAATATTTGCCTACATTGACCCAATTTTCAACCACCCCCATGGAACAGTAAATATGCCAGTCCCAGACAGGTCGTGTTTGGGTTATGCATCAGAGTGTACTCGCACGTTCTGCAGGACTGCTTTTGGGGCATCTACAATGAGCAGCAAAACCGTCAGATCGAGGAGGCCTACCAATCCGGCGAGCGGCAGATCGAAATCACTGTGGGTGTTCGCCCCTTGTCATCCTTGTCATCCTTGTCCTGTGGGGGAAGAGGATGGGTTCGAGCCCTTGAGTCCTTGTTGGCGCAGGCATTTTTTGGGGCTCAAGACACAGTGTTTTTTTGGTAGCGCAGCATCAGTGGGTCTTGGTGTGGAGAAGCCCGCAAAACCTATACATTGTATTTAATTATATATTGGGTTTGAGATGATGCTTGTTTGGATCTCCAAGGAGATTTCCTCATTCTCGGGGTCGGAGACTACCTTTTTTGGGGGACTCCATCCTCAGATGGTGACAACATGAAGAGATCCATATGGCATATGGAGAGCTCAAAGGGTTGGTAGTTGGTTGCCAGATGTTGCCAGTGATGCCAGTAAATAAACCAACATGAGGTCCTTGCCTTTGACAAAGCACCAAGTGAGTGGGGGCTCAAAATCCACAAGGATACCACCCAAACCTACAACCTGGATCCGAGATCTTTCGATGCATCCGAGGTCAATATCAGGTGGTCTTTGGGCCTCCGGGCTTTGCAAGACAGGAGGTGCCTTGGCAGACTAGGCGATCTCCCGAACATAATCCTTCCCGCAGTGACTTCCATGTCCGCCTTGACTTCCGAAAGCGGTGTGACACCTTGATGTCCGAGCCTGGTGGAAAGCGCTATCCTTCGCCGACGCGATCCTTTGCCGATCCTTGAGGACCCGCGCTTGCGGAAGCGCCGGCTCATGCGACGCCAATGGCTCTCGCCGGAGCACTTCCAACGGCGGATGACGCAGGCGAGGCGCTGGTGGATCTGGTTGGAGTATGGTTGAAGTGTGTTGCAGTCGAACTGCCAATGGATGAAGGGGATATTCACGTCGCTTCGCGACGGTAACCGCCCGCACCGGATGGAAGGGGACAATACATCCACCGAGTCCCGGAAGGAAGCCCGAGCTGCTTGTGCTCTTGGAGCCAAGGGAGTGAGTATGAAAGGAAGTGTCCGACATAGCGTCCATATTGTCGGCCCCAGAACGGCTCCCCCCCAACGTGGCTGAACGGAGCTTCTATATCGCCTGGAACGTCGCAAAGATAAGGTCCAACTGGAGCAGAGAGAAGCAGAGTCATCAGGGGAAGGGATGATGTGGTATTCGATGGTTCAAGGGCCTTTTCAAGTAATCGTGGCTGCTGAAGGGCCGCCACCACTGCCGGAAGCATCACGATGGGACGGTTGACCCTGGCAATTAAGTACCGCTCAGTCCCTATCTCGCAGACATGTCCGTTGGATAGTGACTTCTAGGGTTATCTTACGTACCCGTTCCGGGACCTGACCTGCTTATCTCGGCTCCGGACCAGCCACGTTCCCGGATGTTCTAGTCCCTATCTCGCAGACACGTCCTTTCGATAGTGCCTTCGAGCGCT